TATATAAACGTAAACTGTGGACCGTACTTTGCCCGTTTGCTGCCAGAGAATTTGGAAATGCAAAGTTTGAATGCAGAGACTCTGCCGATAAGTCCGATGTTTGTAGCTAACAAAACATATAACTGTACTGTCAACACAACAAAAAATTTTTTGTTTTTGGTTAAACAAATAAGATTTTGAAAACAAAATATTTAGAAATTGCTACAGCGCAAAAGTAGATATGCATTAACACACGAATGCAGCGCAAAATTATAACTCCAACTGTCTGACTCATCTTCCAAAGTTTTTTTATTGTTATGGTTTAATCAATAAGAAGTAGTTCAACAAATACAAAATTATATGCGCCTTCTTTTCACTATGTTCATTAAAAAATGGGCATATATAGAGCTATAAGCAATTTGAACTCAAAAAAAAAAAAATGATAATAATAAAAACTGGTATCCGCTACGGGATAGCTGACGACCTTTTTCCTAATTGGTCAGTAATAAAAACTCTTGCAGTCTAAAAAAATTTCCCAATGCAGTCTAGCATCGGAGACTAGTTCGTTCTTACACCAACAAGTTTGCTGTGTTTAAACTTTAATTCGTGCTCAACCATTCAGAAAGTGGCTAATGATTAAAATTACAGTATATCAATTAAGCAATATTTCAGAAATTTTTCTCAAAGCAGATAGACCTAGAAGCTAATAACAAACCAATTTTTGGCTACCCAGTTACTCATTGTTTTTAAATGTCTAGTTAGAATTCTTTACAACTAATAACTGTTGTATTCCCAAACCTAATTCTAAATCGTTGAAAAATAATTTCTTAAATGATTTTCATCTTAACTGCCAAACTTTAAAATTTATTCAAATCTTCTAATGTTCTACTAGTATTCTGTCATCCTCCAAAACTAACTTTTTTGCAAATTTCTTTTGCGACTTTTTATGCCTGTAAGAACTCAAACTGTTCTGATCAAAAAAGCAATTAAAAACAAAAAAACTACACAACCAGATTTTTACGTTTTGCTCGCACTTTATTAAAAATATCATGAAAAATTAATTTCATAAAAATATACAATAAAAAAAACTACTGTGATGCAAATTTTTTGCATACAGTTCCACAAAGTTAAACTTTTTCTTAACTTTCAGATGTTTAACTGATAAAACCGTCTAGTAGCTGTTAGGAAGTTCTTGAATAGAAATTTTTGCAGCACGAGTGGTACACAAGAGCGATGCTGGAAATGCATATTATCTGGTACTTGAAGTCTGAACTTGACAACGCAAACATTGGTTTCACCATCAAATGTAATGCAAAATTTCTTATTATCAAGCCTTTTGAAAACACTATTTCAAAGTATCAGACAAAATTTTCATCCCCGATATTTAAAGCATGTTCTTTGGAAATGGCAAAACGTAATTTTATCTCAGCTCTGGACCGATTCGATGAATCAACACCATTTAAACAAATTGACGATGCGTTATTACGGCTAAAGGTTATGATTACCATAACAGAAACAAAAAAAGTTTAGATTTTAAATATATCAATGTTAGGAAACGTCAAAATTTTTGCTATAATACTGCAGTAAATAAGTATTCAACACCACAAACGCTCATGTTTCTAGACTCGTACCCATGGAAGCGCGATCGAGCCAGACCCGACAGAATCGAACTGTTTCACCTATTTCCAGATGCTTACAAATGCAGTGATCAGCACTATAGTATCATTACTGTTCATCCCTATCGTTTTCTTTCGTTGACATATAGAGCCCCCCTCTAAAATGACGCTATTTAAACAACTTCTGCTTCACTTACCTCCCCTCCGCTCCTCCAGGCTCTCAGAAGTGCCAAACATACAGATTCCATTTATTTCACGAATACAGTTGAACACTAATTGTTTGCTCCTTTTGCAGAGCAGATCCCGAGAGGAAAAATCACACCGGCTGACGTCATCGTGCCCGCTATTGCAAAAGCCGATAGCATGCTACAAGAATCTGCTACCTTTGGAAAATGGAACGAAATATCGAAACACCGAATTCGTAGTTTCTATGAGCGCAAAATTGGTTGAGGCCAAAAGTGGAGACTTGATCAACATAATATGCACTGTAAGCTCAGGTGGGTGAGAATTCAGAATGGAGGTAAGATCAAGCTGACCAGTTATTCACAAAAGGTAAACTATCAAAGCCAAATCAGCTTCACATAACCAAACCCGTTGGTTTGCTCAACGCGTAACTTGAATCTATGCAGTCCACTTCCTACTGATCGATCAAGCTTTACAGAACATGAAGATTTCGCTGTTAAATGGTTCCATAATGACGAAGAACTGCCTAACAAAGGAAGGTTTCGTACATTTCGAGTGGGATTTTCTCAATGCCTCGAAATATTCGACTGCAACACTTCAGACCAGGGTAGAATTACGTGCACTGCCATTAACGACTTCGTAAGAGCCTCCGATACTGTTTTGCTGAAAATTCACGGTAGGTGGTAAGGGATATCAGTTTCGCTATCAGTTTCGCTATTAGTTCATTCGCTACTTCACTACCGTAAAAGTCCTACCAGA